TGGATTTGTCGTTAAAAATAGGAGAGGAGGTTTTTAAAGGGGGAGAGGTTAGGGGTTTTGGGGAAGAGGGAAAAGGAAAAATTTTGAGGAATTTTTAATGTTGATAAAAGATGGGGAACTGTGATTTCGTGTTTTGGGAAAGGAGGGAATAACATTTGAGGAGTGGGAAAAGAGCCAGTTGTGGTGGGGGGGAAAATTTCGTGGGGCGTAGGTAAATAAAGGGGGGGGAAAGGCAGGGGATTTTGATGGGTAAAGATAGAAATGTTAAAAGCAGGTGGGGATATAGTTTTGGGGGTTTTGGTGAAATTTATTTAATAAATGTAGGGAAAGGGTTTAAGGGTCCCTGGGGTTTGGGGAGAGAGCATGCATAGTTCCTTTGTAAAAAGGGAAAAGGGGATAAAAGGGGGTTGAAAAAAATTTTTAGGGGGATAAGTTTTTGAGTGTCCCCTGGTAAAAGTGTATGGTAGTGTTTTAATTGAAAAAATTTAAAAGAGAAAGACGGGGGGAATAGGATAGCGATAAAACAAGGAGGCTTTGGGGAAAAAAAGGGTAGGGGGTGTGGGGCCCAGGTGTTTTCAGTGAAACATATAAGTGAACAGAATTTAGATAAGGAAAAAAGGGGTTTCTTTTTTGGCTTTTTTATGGTTTTGGGAAAAAAAGGCGTATGAAAAGGGTGGTGGATGGGGGGGCCCAATGGGCAAAATGTTGCAAGGTTAGGGTTTGTAGGGGTGGGTTTTACTGAAAGAGTTAAAAATTTTTTACGGGATAGTGAGGCTCAAGTTAGAGTAGTGGGGAAAAAAGGGAAAAATTTTTTCCATTTAAAATTAGGCCCTTAGACAAGGATGTGTGATGTCACCGTGGTTTTTAATATATTTTTTGATGGGGTTGTAAAAGAAGTAAATGCGAGGGGCTTGGCAAGAGGTTTGGGGGGGAAAAGATAAAAAAATCACACACAAAGTGGGAGTTTCCCGTGCCCCTTTGCTGATGACACTGTGCCCCTTGGGAGATTCGAAGAGAAGTTGCAGGTTGGGGGAGAATTGGTAGGGTGTGAAAAAAGAAAAAAAATTTTAAAGGTAATCGGGAAAGAGAAAGGTTATGAGGATAACAAAAAGATTAGGTGATGAAAATTGAATATCAGATTGGGGGGAGGAGTTGGAGGAGTGAACGTTTTCAATTTGGGGAGTGGACGTGCGCGGATGGGTCTATGAAAGTGAGGGAATCATAGAATTGATGGGGGAAAAAGAGTGAGTGGTCCCTTTAGGAGTTGGGGGAACAAAGAACTTTGTCCTTGGAGGAAAGGGGGGAATGATGGAGTATAGTTTTCCCAAACGCTTATAGGGGTGTGAAGCAGGGGTGAAAATGTTGCAGGAGGAGAAGGCGGAGGCAGTGGAGATGTCATGTCTGAGGGCAATGTTGGTGTGAATATAAGCGAGAATTTCTTTTTAGTTTGGAATTTGGGAGGAGGTGGGGGTTTCCCCAAAATGTTGTCCGAGGGCTGGGGAAGGGTTGTTGAGGGGGTTTCGGACATGGAGAGAATGGAGCGAAAAAAAAGACTTAAGAGGGTATCAGTCTGTGGGGAAAGGGAAGGCGGGGTAGGGGTGGCCCCTAGGAAGGGTTGGAGGGAGGGGGGTAAAGGAGGTTTTGTGTGCGAGGGGCTTGGACTTCCGCAGGCATGCGTGAGGTGTTTGATATGTAAATGGAGACAAATGGTTTTTAAACTTGACGTGCTGTTGGAGTGTGAGAAAGAAACATTTATGAAGGGATTCGGGGAAACCGGCAGGCCGGGGCTTAGCCGGAGTGGGAAAATACAGTGCCTGCACTCTGAAGGGGGGTGTTAATGTTTTCGTTTAAAAAAATGTATGTAAAGCACCCTTCTGGGAAGACAGTGAGGAGTGAATGTGGTGAATTTTTTTCTTTTTTTCGGCCCCCTGCCTTGGTGGGAATCGGGGCCGGGGGTATAAAAAAAAAAAAATTTTTTTTTCAAATAAATAGATTTAATACTGAAAACAATCAGAAATCAAGTACTGCATAAAAAAAATAAAATAACATTCCTTACCTTTACTGAAGACTTCTAGGTGGATGGAAGACAGGAGGGGGGGAAAAGGGGAGGAAGGTGTACACTATTTTTGGAAGGAGAATCTCCTTCCATTGGGACTTAAGGTGCAGTCCTTTTCGGGGGTTCCCCCTTCTTTTAATGCCATGGAAAAAATTGAGAGTCACTGGACCCTATTGCAAAAATAATCTGCCCAGAGAGGTCTGTTACGGCATTTCTTTATATTTCTGAAGGGGGAAAAGGTTTTGTCTTTGACATGTTGCAGATATGTTTGTTTCAGCTTGGTAGGGTGAAATTTTTAAAACAAATTTTGCACTCTTCACTTTAAACACATGTCCTTAATCATAAAGAAGGCACCTCCTTCCTCTCTTTTCCTCCCCCCTTTGAAGCAATTTTCCTCAGCTGGGGGTCTGCTGCTTTCCGGGGGTCCCCCCCAAAAACCTTCCACACCCCTTTCACCACCTCCAACCCCCATGGATTCCCAAATCCCAAAACCCTTTCCAAACAGGCAGGGGGTGGGCGGGACAGGGTTGCCTAAACCCTTCAAAATCCCTCTGGATCTTTTTTTCTTCACTTTCTTCAAGGGCTTGCACTAGCTTTCCTTGGGCCCATGGTGACTTATTTAGCAGTTGCAATCAAAAAAAACAATGGATTATCGAATGAACCTAGGGTGACGGTCACGTGTTGGTAAACAATGGCACACTGAGCGTGATGGCAAGGGAGGACTGGCTTTGTATATGCGGTGACAGGCGGAAAGGGTACCGACGGTCGCCGAATCACGAGTCTAATCACGAAAAATAGAGGGCCCAAAATTTTTCCGAAAAAAACTTGCCGAAAGTCGGATTTCCGGGAAAATCGATGCTGCCCAAAACTCGAGGGCCCCTGTAATTTAATTATAACTGTCCCCCAGCTTGAAGCAATCTGCTAAAGGTTGGCTTTAAACCCCCCACTAGAAATGAAAATCATAAACAAGTAAAACAAATTTTTGTATTATTCCTTAAACACAAATTTAAGGTATTATTAGTGTGAATTTATGGGGAGGTGCTACACCCACAATTTTACAGTAATATGTAATATGTTGATGAAGATAGGGAAGCTGTGATTTCGTGTATAGGGCAAGGAGGAATAACATCTTGTAGGAGGGAGGAAGAGCCAGTTGTGAGTGTGGGGGAAGTTCGTGAGGCAGTAGGTAAAATGAAAGAGGGTAAGGCAGCCGGGATTGATGGGATAAAGATACAAATGTTAAAAGCAGGTGGGGATATAGTTTTGGAGTAGTTGGTGCAATTATTTAATAAATGTATGGAAGAGGGTAAGGTACCTAGGGATTGGCAGAGAGCATGCATAGTTCCTTTGTATAAAGGCAAAGGGAGCAAAAGAGTGCAAAAATTATAGGGGGATAAGTCTGTTGAGTATACCTGGTAAAGTGTATGGTAGAGTTATTATTGAAAGAATTAAGAGTAAGACGGAGAATAGGATAGCAGATGAACAAGGAGGCTTTAGGAAAGGTAGGGGGTGTGTGGCCAGGTGTTTACAGTGAACATATAAGTGAACAGTATTTAGATAAGGCTAAAGAGGTCTTTGTGGCATTTATGGATTTGGAAAAGGCGTATGACAGGGTGGATAGGGGGCAATGTGGCAGATGTTGAAGGTGTATGGTGTAGGAGGTAGGTTACTGAAAGCAGTGAAGAGTTTTTACGAGGATAGTGAGGCTCAAGTTAGAGTATGTAGGAAAGAGGGAAATTATTTCCAGTAAAAAGTAGGCCAGGACAAGGATGTGTGAGTCACCGTGGTTGTTTAATATTTTATAGATGGGTTGTAAGAGAAGTAAATGCGAGGGTCTTGGCAAGAGGCGTGGAGTTAAAAGATAAAGAATCACACAAAGTGGAGTTGTCACAGTGTCTTTGTGATGACACTGTGCTCTTGGAATTCTGAAGATGAAGTTGCAGAGATTGGTGGATGAATTTGGTAGGGTGTGCAAAAGAAAAATTAAAGTGAATACAGGAAAGAGTAAGGTTATGAGGATAACAAAAAGATTAGGTGATGAAAGATTGGATATCAGATTGGAGGGAGAGTATGGAGGAGGTGAATGTATTCAGATATTTGGGAGTGGAAGTGTCAGCGGATGGGTCTATGAAAGATGAGGTGAATCATAGAATGATGAGGGGAAAAGGGTGAGTGGTGCACTTAGGAGTCTGTGGAGACAAAGAACTTTGTCCTTGGAGGCAAAGAGGGAAATGTATGAGAGTATAGTTTTACAAACGCTCTTATATGGGTATGAAGCATGGGTGATGAATGTTGCAGCGAGGAGAAGGCTGGAGGCAGTGGAGATGTCATGTCTGAGGGCAATGTGTGGTGTGAATATAATGCAGAGAATTCGTAGTTTGGAAGTTAGAGAGGGGTGCGGATTACCAAAACTGTTGTCCAGAGGGCTGAGGAAGGGTTGTTGAGGTGGTTCGGACATGTAGAGAGAATGGAGCGAAACAGAGTGACTTCAAGAGTGTATCAGTCTGTAGTGGAAGGAAGGCGGGGTAGGGGTCGGCCTAGGAAAGGTTGAGGGAGGGGTAAAGGAGGTTTTGTGTGCGAGGGGCTTTGGACTTCCAGCAGGCATGCGTGAGCGTGTTTGATAGGAGTGAATGGAGACAAATGGTTTTTAATACTTGACGTGCTGTTGGAGTGTGAGCAGAGTAACATTTATGAAGGGGTTCAGGGAAACCAGCAGGCCGACTTGAGTCCTGGAGATGGGAAGTACAGTGCCTGCACTCTGAAGGAGGGGTGTTAATGTTGCAGTTTAAAAACTAGTGTAAAGCACCCTTCTGGCAAGACAGTGATGGAGTGAATGATGGTGAAAGTTTTTCTTTTTCGGGCCACCCTGCCTTGGTGGGAATCGGCCAGTGTGATGATAAAAAAAAATAATAATAATACTGTACTGTACTAGTGAAAAACACACCTGTTGCAAGTCCAACTTTAATTCCTCGACAAATAAGTTGTCTGACGTCACAGTGCCCAGAACGAATTGATATGTTTGAATTGGGGCAGTGAGCCACCCCTGTATTACATTCCTTCAGTCGTTTCAACTCCTGCTCTTCCATCCACACACAATGTGCCATGATGGTTAAGAAAAAAAAAAAAAACATTTAGTAACAGATAAAAGATCAAAGTTTGTGTCTAATACTACACTAATTTCATGTGCAGCAATGCTCTTTACAATACCATATAGTGGATCAAAGTCTATCTCAAAATAAACTGAGCACCTTACAAATGCATCGCGTTACTTTAAATCCTCCATACGAAGCATTTGAACCCAAAAATTTTGCCTCGCTCACGATAAAAAACTCGCCTTACGTGATTCATCTGGGACGCGTCCCATGTGTGGCCTCAGCCCAGTGTTTACAAGCCAGCCAGTGCGGTGCATATACGCATACATTCGTAAACATTATCCATGTAGTGCTGTAACTGCAAAATAAGTCCCATGGACCCAAGAAAGCTTCTAGTGCATCCTGTGGTAAAAAGGGGAAGAATTAGTATGGAATTGAAAAAAAGAGATTAAAGGGAAAATGTGTGCAAAGTGGGTTGAACTGCAAACCTTTACGGATGAAAATCACCCTGACACAGCTACTGCAAGCCGTGTTGGGCAACCTGTAATGACAATGTTATGGCCCATTTTAGGAAAGTCTTAAAGGAATGGGAGGTACAGAGCTCTATGGACAGATTTGTTGTGGGGACAGAGGTTCAGTGACTCTCAAGCTGGTCCCAGTGGCATTAAAAGAAGGGAAGTAACCCCGGAAAAGGACTTGCTACCTCAAGTCCTAATGGAAGGGGATTCCCCTTCCTCTCCTCCCATCCCATCAATCATCACCAGATCTTCAATAAAGGTAAGTGTCATGTATTCTATTCTTAGTAGAGTAGTAATTGTGCATGTCTTCTTCAGTTTGTGTGTATTAAAATTAATATTTCATGTGGTAAAAATTTTTTTTTTTTCATACTTTGGGGTGTCAGGAACGGATTAATTTATTTCCATTATTTCTTATGGGGAAAATTAATTTGGCTAACAATAATTTCGGCTTACGATGAGCTCTCAGGAATGGATTAATATTGTAAGGCGGGGTCCACTGTATTATAACAGATTAATGTGGCAATATAAACAAAGTACTAAAGGTAATTCATCTCTGTCTTTAATGCCATTTTATCTCGGGTAGCTTCTGGACTCTTGGAAGCCCTAGACTACCTCATCTTAAAGATGTGTATGGAATTTGCCTTTATCTCCAGATCTAGTTTATGTCATTTCCTTAATGCAGTCAACAGTTTTATTATTGCATCACCATCTCCTTTTTCCCTGACATGGCCCTCATACCCATCCCAGTTCTACTGCTGCTGCCACCACTGCCACCAGTGGTGCCAGGGTGCCACTGCCACCTGTTCCTTCTTTAGCTGCTGGATTTTTGCTTTTAGACAGTCAGCCTAGACATCTTTATATCAGTTAAAGGTTCTATTATCATCCAAGCCCCTGGCCCTTCCATGTTTCAGTCTCAGACCAGGCCTTGTTAACTGGGAACAAAATAAAGCAGGAATAAGAACTATTGCATTTAAAAAATGCAGAGGAAAATAGTGTATACTAAATGAAAGTAAAAATTTGTACAGTTTTACCTGTCATCTTATATCTTCATGAGACAAAGGATAGCAGGAATTCTGTCCTAAACAAAAGTGTTTAATAGGCTTCCCTATATCCATTATCACTATTGAACCAGGACCCTTCCACATATAAAATACATACTCTAAAGACAATAAAGAGCAATTGTGAGTAATACAAAAATTATTGGTTCAAGCCAAAGTAACAATTAGATGTTGGTTTGATTTTGGGAAAAGACAGTAACTATGCTCTCTGAGAATCCCTAGGTACCTTACCCTCACCCATACATTTATTAAATAATTGCACCAACCACTCCAAAACTATATCCCCACCTGCTTTTAACATTTCTATCTTTATCCCATCAATCCCGGCTGCCTAACCCACTTTCATTTTACCTACTGCCTCACGAACTTCCCCCACACTCACAACTGGCTCTTCCTCACTCCTACAAGATGTTATTCCTCCTTGCCCTATACACGAAATCACAGCTTCCCTATCTTTATCAACATTTAACAATTCCTCAAAATATTCCCTCCATCTTCCCAATACCTCTAACTCTCCATTTAATAACTCTCCTCTCCTATTTTTAACTGACAAATCCATTTGTTCTCTAGGCTTCCTTAACTTGTTAATCTCACTCCAAAACTTTTTCTTTTTTTCAACAAAATTTGTTGATAACATCTCACCCACTCTCTCATTTGCTCTCTTTTTACATTGCTTCACCACTCTCTTAACCTCTCTCTTTTTCTCCATATACTCTTCCCTCCTTGCATCACTTCTACTTGTAAAAACTTTATATGCTAACTTTTTCTCCCTTACTACTCTCTTTACATCATCATTCCACCAATCGCTCCTCTTCCGCCCGCACCCACTTTCCTGTAAAACCCCAAACTACTGCTGAACACTCTAACATTACATTTTTAAACCTACCCCATACCTCTTCGACCCTATTGCCTATGCTCTCATTAGCCCATCTATCCTTTCCCAAAAGCTGCTTATATCTTACCCTAACTGCCTCCTCTTTTAGTTTATAAACCTTCACCTCTCTTCCCTGATGCTTCTATTCTCCTTATATCCCATCTACCTTTTACTCTCAGTGTAGCTACAACTAGGAAAGTGATCTGATATATCTGTGGCCCCTCTATAAACATGTACATCCTGAAGTCTACTCAACAGTCTTTTATCTACCAATACATAATCCAACAAACTACTGTCATTTCGCCCTACATCATATCTTGTATACTTATTTATCCTCTTTTTCTTAAAATATGTATTACCTATAACTAAACCCCTTTCTATACAAAGTTCAATCAAAGGGCTCCCATTATTTATTTACACCTGGCACCCCAAACTTACCTACCACACCCTGTCTAAAAGTTTCTCCTACTTTAGCATTCAGGTCCCCTACCACAATTACTCTCTCTCTCACTCCCTTCCACTACATTTCCTCTCTTCTCCAGGTGCATAAACGCTTATTATGACCCAAATTCTCACATCCAACCTTTACTTTAATCCACATAATTCTTGAATTTACACATTCATATTCTCTTTTCTCCTTCCATAACTGATCCTTCAACATTACTGCTACCCCTTCCTTTGCTCTAACTCTCTCAGATACTCCAGATTTAATCCCATTTATTTCCCCCCACCGAAACTCCACTACCCCCTTCAGCTTTGTTTCACTTAGGGCCAGGGCATCCAACTTCTTCTCATTCATAACATCAGCAATCATCTGCTTCTTGTCATCCGCACTATATCCACGCACATTCAAGCATCTCAGTTTTATAACGTTTTTCTTCTTCTCTTTTTAAGTAAATGTCTACAGGAGAAGGGGCTACTAGCAGAGAGCATGCATAATTCCTTTGTATAAAGGCAAAGGGGACAAGAGAGTGCAAAAATTATAGGGGGATAAGTCTGTTGAGTATACCTGGTAAAGTGTATGGTAGAGTTATTATTGAAAGAATTAAGAGTAAGATGGAGAATAGGATAGCAGATGAACAAGGAGGCTTTAGGAAAGGTAGGGGGTGTGTGGACCAGGTGTTTACAGTGAAACATATAAGTGAACAGTATTTAGATAAGGCTAAAGAGGTCTTTGTGGCATTTATGGATTTGGAAAAGGCCTATGACAGGGTAGATAGGGGGCAATGTGGCAGATGTTGCAGGTGTATGGTATAGGAGGTAGGTTACTGAAAGCAGTGAAGAGTTTTTACGAGGATAGTGAGGTTCAAGTTAGAGTATGTAGGAAAGAGGGAAATTATTTCCCAGTAAAGTAGGCCTTAGACAAGGTTGTGTGATGTCACCATGGTTGTTTAATATATTTATAGATGGGATTGTAAGAGAAGTAAATGCGAGAGTCTTGGCAAGAGGCGTGGAGTTAAAAGATAAAAAATCACACAAAGTGGGAGTTGTCACAGTTGCTCTTTGCTGATGACACTGTGCTCTTGGGAGATTCTGAAGAGAAGTTGCAGAGATTGGTGGATGAATTTGGTAGGGTATGCAAAAGAAGAAAATTAAAAGTGAATACAGGAAAGAGTAATGTTATGAGGATAACAAAAGATTAGGTGATGAAAGATTGGATATCAGATTGGATGGGAGAGAGTATGGAGGAGGTGAATGTATTCAGATATTTGGGAGTGGACGTGTCAGCGGATGGGTCTATGAAAGATGAGGTGAATCATAGAATTGATGAGGGGGAAAAGAGTGTTGAGTGGTGCACTTAGGAGTCTGTGGAGACAAAGAACTTGTCCTTGGAGGCAAAGAGGGAATGTATGAGAGTTAGTTTACCAACACTCTTATATGGGTGTGAAGCATGGGTGATGAATGTTGCAGCGAGGAGAAGGCTGGAGGCAGTGGAGATGTCATGTCTGGAGGGCAATGTGTGGTGTGAATATAATGCAGAGAATTCGTAGGGTTTGGGAAGTTAGGAGGAGGTGCAGGATTACCAAAACTGTTGTCCAGAGGGCTGAGGAAGGGTTGTTGAGGTGGCTCAGACATGTAGAGAGAATGGAGCGAAACAGAATGACTTCAAGAGTGTATCAGTCTGTAGTGGAAGGAAGGCGGGGTAGGGGTCGGCCTAGGAAAGGTTGGAGGGAGGGGGTAAAGGAGGTTTTGTGTGCGAGGGGCTTGGACTTCCAGCAGGCATGCGTGAGCGTGTTTGATAGGAGTGAATGGAGACAAATGGTTTTTAAATACTTGACGTGCTGTTGGAGTGTGAGCAAAGTAACATTTATGAAGGGGTTCAGGGAAACCGGTAGGCCGGACTTGAGTCCTGGAGATGGGAAGTACAGTGCCTGCACTCTGAAGGAGGGGTTTTAATGTTGCAGTTGAAAAACTGTAGTGTAAAGCACCCTTCTGGCAAGACAGTGATGGAGTGAATGATGGTGAAAGTTTTTCTTTTTCGGGCCACCCTGCCTTGGTGGGAATCGGCCAGTGTGATAATAAAAAAAAAAACAGTAACTATGGAGAATCACAAGAATAATGAAGATTGACTCACTGGATCTACAAAGATGCAGAAGAAATGTAAACTTTCTAAAGTCTATAAATCCTACATATAATTTTGTCCTTTGCTATATCTTCACAATATATCTGATGTACATATCTTGCAAACCTCCCTGTATGTATTCAATTCAGAACAATCTCTTGTTTGTTACTGAACCAGACTTAAGGCATTGCTTTACTAATATAATCAGAAATTTAGACATTCTTTATGGAATGCATTGGATAAAAGTACAGGCTTTGATGAATGTTTTATGGTGAATGGCTAAATATATTTTAGGGATCACTGCTTCAGCAGTTTGGTCCTTGATTAGAGCTCTTGTTTGACAGCCTAACCAATCAGGTTGTTGATGCTAGCAGAAGAGTCTAATAGGCACCACAGTTGGCTGATCTAGGACTAACTTAAGAAACTTATCAATTCCCTCTTGAACATAGGGTCTGTTGGTTCTGTAATTCCAATTTTTTAAATAATTCTATACTGAACAGTTTGAGATAATGGTCAGCAGTAACTTCTACCTTTGCTCCAAGCAGTCCTGCAGTGTCATAAACATCAGTGTAAGACTTTGACCAAGGAAAAAGCTCTTGAATCCAGGTAACCTCTGCTTGTGTTTCACATAAATGAGTCTGGATATGACAGTCATGCTTTTTGGCAAGCTGGCCCAGTTGCTTCATTTGATCCAAGGAGCAAGCCACAGCAAATCGTGGTGTTATGACAGGTTTAATGAGTGGTGTCTGAAATCACAAAGAAAGATCAGCATATACAAGTAGATTCAACTGCACCATCAGAATTTTTTATCTACATTAGTAAGTTAGTTTATTCAGGTATACACAAATATAGTTACATAGATTATCATACATAGCAGCATATGTGTAGAGAACCTAGGATAACCCAAAAAATGTCAGACAGAGTGACTTATTTCCACTGGAGTCCTTTGACATTAGGTTATGGTATAGCAGGTTATGATATGCGATAGTGTATGACTGGAATAAATGGAGACAAGTGGTTTTCAAATATATCTTGCTACTTTAACTTACACTTAAATCACACTACACAGGCATGTACACGTATATGTATATGTATCTGTACCCACAGAGGCGTTGCTAGGGTTGGTGTCACCTGGGGCGGCATCTTTGGTGTCACCCCCATGAAATCCAAGGGCGGAGGGGATGGGGGGGAGTAAACTCCAGTTACGTCACTACTGCATGACCAGTGACTAATGTTTAAACAATGAGAACGTTTAAGAGCCATAAACTGAACAGGAGAATACTTCTTAACTTTATTAATTATAAAATAAATAATCGTAGTAATATTGAGGAAACAAACTCAAATATGTATCGCTTTGAGTATAGCCAACAGATCCTACATTTATTATTCTTCAACAATGCCAAAAAAAAAAAAAAAACTTGAAAAATAAAGAAAAACATTGCAATTTCACGGGAGAGTACCGGCGAATAAAAAAAAAAAAGAGAAACGCTAGTTTCAATTTGACCTTGAGTACAGGTAACATCTCAGTGAATGATAAATTAGACATGTGGAACTCTTGGGTATCTTTACTGAGGAAATGTTTAGCCACACAGTGGCTTCATCAGTCCATACAAAGGACTGATGAAGCCACTGTGTGGCAAAACGTTTCCTCAATAAAGATACCCAACAGTTGCACGTGTCTAATTTTATCAATGTGTCGGTTCTCTGAACCATTCATCTACAAACTCGGTGAATCAAATCTTACATTTCCTTGCCTTCAATCTTGCAAAATCATCTATCACATCATCAAAATCAATGCTGTTAACTGACCCATTTTCTATGGATAACATTGCTATGTCAGAGATTCTGGATTGACTCATTGTAGACCATAAATAGTTTTTAATCAGCTTCAACTTAGAGAAACTCCTTTCACAAGAAGCCACAGAAACACACATAGTAAGGAACAACCTCAGGCAGAGTGTCAGAGTTGGAAGAGATTCAATGAAATCCCATTCAACTGTGAATGTTAGTACATCCAGTGCAGTCCAGTGCTTAACTTTTTCAAGATCAACATCAGCAGCTTGCAGGTGCCTTCTTAGTCTTGGTATTTCAAGTATGAGCTCATTTTTGCATATTTCATTATAGAAGACTGAGTCTTGAAGCCATCACCTCCATTTCTTCTTCAGTAGCTTGTATAAGATTCTTTGTTTGAATGACAACAAACATGGCTGCCACATCCTTGATTGCTTTTGATCCTATCTCGAGTTCATTATGAAAATGATCAATGCACTCCAATATCACCCTCTTGTTTTCTTCCTGTAGAGTGAGTCCAGAATCTCTTGCCTGCTTCCCTGCCATCCTTTTCTTTAACCTGATTCTTCTCTCTGTTGGAAATCCATACTTCTCACATTTCAAAAGTGCCTGCTGTATTGAATTTTCCACTATGCGATCTCGCCCTTCATTCAAAAATAATCGCAGTGCCTCTAGCTTCACCACCACTTTGTCAAGAGTTAAATCCTTAGTCTGCAAGTACTGCTGTGCAAGCTGAACCTCTCAAAGTATGTCACACCAGAAATACAGATAACACAGAAATGTGAAATCACACACAGCAGGGAGAAGACCTTGTGCTGCTCCTCTTGTATCCAAATTTTCCCGTGGATCGCAAAGAGCTTCAATCGCTGCCACAAATTTCTCGAAAGATTCTGCTATTGGTTTCACTGCATTGTAATGAGAACTCCATCTTGTTGTTGATAATCTTTTCAAAGAGACTGCAGTATGGTCCATTAATACATCCCATTGATGGGTGGAGGAGGCAAAGAAAGTATACGCTGACTCAAGACTGCCAAAAATTTTACACATGATGAATTCTCGGCAAAAGAATGCTGACCACACAAGTTCAATGAATGGTCCACAAAACCACTGAAAATTCCCTTCTTGTTCTTTTCTTTAAGAATGACTTGTACACTTCCATGGACCCCAGCCATGGTGGTAGCATGGCAACCATGCTGAGCACGGCACAGCATCACTTTCAATCACAGTCCATCACTTTCCAGCTTTTTCAGGATATCAGAACTGATATCAATAGCTTTTTTGCCATTCAAAGGAAAAAACCAAGAAAACTTCCTTCACTTGAACTCTTCCATCCTCTGACATTTGGTCAGTGTCACATCTGGTGTACTGTCAAACATAACATTGTAGTATACAGCTCTCTTGGTATCAGTAACAAGTTTCTCTTGAACTCGATTTGCCAGAACACTTAAAAATTCATTTTGAGTTGATGGTGAGAGATACGAAATTGATGACCTGTGTTCACTTGAGCTGCACTTCAGTCTCATTAGGTGCTCTTTTAGCACAGGATCATACATAGCTATTAATTCAACCATCTCAAGAAAGTTTCCTCTATTTGATGAGAATTCGTCCTCCCTGTGGCCGCGAAATGCTAAGTTCTGTTTAGCCAGAAACAGTGTAATGTCGAGCAGCCTGTACAATATTTCCTTCCGCCTTTTCTTCTGGATTTCCACTGAAACGATTATTTCTGCATCTATGGTTTTGTTCACCCTTAAACCGGTTGCCATGGTTTTCAATTCTCGAGGCAACGAAGGTGTTATCAGAAGTTTCATGATTGTGTACTTTTGGGTTCAGCTTCCACCATATTTGAAACCCAGTCACAAACTTTGATGTTATACTTGTAACACTAGAGGTAAACAATCTACAGCAGTAACAGTATAATTTCCCACTGACTGGCGAGTATACCATCCATGATCGCAAAACTTTCTCACCATTCTGCATCTGTTTGTAGAACCATTCTTTAGAAACCTGACGCTCATCGCCTTTTGCATTTTTTCTCTCTGTAACATGAAAAGGGCCATTCTTGTTCTGATAAACATAACTACCTCTTTTGATGATTTCAATCCTGGAATGGTCTGGAACTGGAATTTTCCAAGAAGAAACGTCACACATCAATGCTAATTCTCGCAGACTCTCATTCCCTTCATTCCTCTCGCTTATATTACCATTGTCGGAGTCAGAATCAACATCAGTGTTATCAGTAAGATCATAACTAAAATCATTTGATAAACTCAGGCCATTATCGGGTTTCTTGAGATACTGAACCACAGACCCAGCCATTTTTCGCATTAGCTGAACTTTTTCACTTTTTGCCTTCCTTTGTTGACATCCACTAGGCCTCTTCGGTTCATGCATTCCATGAGGCATGATATTATATCAATGATCTGAAAAAAGAATGCAAGATTCACTGTTTTGGTTCTACTGAATATTCGGTAATTTTTAATGGTGACAGAAATAAATGGTGCCAATTCTATTATCCTACTGAGGATGAAATGAAGTTAGGAAATGAAATAAGTGGGTTAAGTTCAGATGAAATTAAGACTAACCATTAATAACTGTTGTTTCATGATTGCATTAATTTTTTTCAGTAGAACCTAATTTGGATATTTAACTCAGACTCTAACCAGAATGAGAACAAAGCAGAAAAAATGAAGCCTACTTTCCAATGAATTGGAAAAAATAATCATAATGATCATTATGGATGTAATACTAATGTGTATCACATTATTTGGTAAGCCTCCTGGCCCTATAGCAGTGTTATTCACTAATTTTTGCAGGAGAGCCACTTCGGTTAAACACATTGATTGAGAGAGCCGCAGCTACTGCAAGTTAGCGTAACTCAACTAAATTAAGTAGTACTGAGCTGCTAGTGCAATATAGTAAATGAGAAAAATTAGACATGGTAATATTAGCCTGCATATCTTGTTATTAATAGCAAAATAAAGACCAAACTTACTGAATGCTGTGATGAGCGGAAGTGTGCTAGCTGCTGCTTAACTCGAATCGACACTACTTGACTGCACTTTGGTTTCAAGTAAAACTAGCCCATCGCAGCTAGCTTCCACAAGCAGCAACAGTTAAGTCGTTACTTTCATATATGTTGCCGCAGTCTCAAATATCTGTTGCCTATTTTCAAACACAAATCTCCAAGAGTAACGAAATACATCCAGTCTCCCATGAAAGCTTGAACTCAACTGATTCAGTGAGACCACCGACGCCTAGAGCTAGACGTGTCCCTGATCAGTTTCCCGTAGTGGACACGTATGATTTCTGTACAACTAGGGTAGGGATGTTAGAATGTTATCTCTTACTGTGACTTCGTCTTCCATCTCACCTCATGAAAATATGTATCTTACTTGAAAAATTATTTTTCTATATATTTTTTTTTATTAATTAATTTATATATTTTTCAAGCCACGAATTGAGTCATCGCGAGCCGCCAGCGGCTCGCAAGCCGCACAATGAATACCACTGCCCTATAGGCTTTACTCCACAAGGATTGGTAACAACAATGCATGGTTAAAATGGATATCAATAAATAACAAAAAGACACAATACCGTGACTGGAGCAATACACAAATAACCCGCACACAGGAGAGAGGAGCTCACAACAACGTTTCAGTCCGACTTATACCATTTACAAAGTCACACTAACAAAAAGCAGAGGAGGAGGCAGTATATATAGGCCAACAGACAGGGACAGGACAAGAGAGGTATTAGGAAAGGAGGAAGAGAGGTAGTCGTGGAGGTAGTAGTGGTATAGTGGAGCAAGTCAAATACGTAATAAGAAAGAGGAGCACTGCAAGGGAGCTAGGGGCCCACAAAAGGCAGGAACAAAAACACAGAGGGAGTGGGGGAAATAATAATAATGGACCAAATACCCAAGACAGAAGAAGGAAAACCCAAAGGATAAAGAGGA